GAACCCGCGGGCTCAGACAATCCACTCACCTCAGCCTCCCAAAGGCGCGGGATTACAGGCTGAGCCACCGAGCCTGGCTTATTTTTTTATTTTTATTTTTTTTAACAACAATGCATTTTTATTTGGCCACTTAATCCAACTGAAATCATGGAGTGATTACAACAATATTTACATTGCTGGAAAATACATATTTCCCACATGTAGAGTACAAGAGGTACTGTATTTGGTACAATGATACACGAAGAGAAAGCTGTCATAAAATATACAATGCATCCATTCTTGAAAAACAATATTTAACTACTGACAATTCATTAGCTACAACCCCCCAAACACACTCATGTCCACACACTAGCACATGGTATCATTGCCACTAGTTCAGCATGTTTGTAGCCAGAACTGGAAAATGTGCAATTAAAAGAATTTGGAAATAAATAATCCTAATTCAATTCAGGAGATTGGCTTTGTTAAATGAAATGAAGAAATGTCATTATGTAGCTAGGAGATGTGGCAAAAGCATAAAACTCAATTTTAAATGTGTTGTTTTGGCTGAATAAAGGGAAATGATCAGGATTTTTGTTGAAATGCCATTTCCTGTGATTGGAGTTTTCTATCTCACTCTTTTCCTCCCTCCTGCTAAATGCACTTGGGACTCCTGAAAGCCTTCCGATCCCTTTGCTGCTACCCACTCGCTCAGTGTACCAGCCCCTCCTGGTCCTTCCTGGTCCCAAGCTCCAGCACTTCAACACACCCTCTCCACTGCTTGCAGTTCCTTTAGCCTGCCTTTTTCTGTTATATCTACCTTTCAAATCTTTGCAGATCAACTGAACCCTTCATTTCATTTCACCCAAAGTCTCTGAAGGTGCTGACAAAAATCACTGTTGACTGGCTCCATTTAAACAGAAGGATTCTACTTAAAAGCTAGTCTCCTAGTGCTGCTGTATGAACCCCAATCATTGGTTACAGGTCCTTAGTGGTCCCTGCCCTGCCACAGGGCCTCTATAGAGAAAGCTCACATCCTGAACTCCATGCTGCCAAGACCCCTTCAGCTGCTTTACCCACCCTCTGTGGCTGACTCTTTGTTTCGTATCTGTTTCTTGCTCTCCACCTGACCCTCTGGACTTGAAACACATGGACCCCACAGTTTTAAGACTTGAACAACTTCATATAGAATCTCAGATTTCTGTATTGTGTTGAAAACTCAACATATCAGCAACACTGGGCTCATGCTCTGAAAGGCCTCAACTAGCTGGAGCAGGTACATGCTCTCCAGGTTGTCACAGCTCCCAGAGCTCCTGACTATCATTTGCTCGGCCTGCGTTACTCACTCATGTTCCCTGCCTGTCTCAACAGGCATTTGAATTGAAGACTTTTGTTTTAGTATTTGAAATAAGGGGTACAGACATTGGAAAGAAAGAGACAAAATCATCATTCTTTGCACATGTTTTGCAGCATCCACGGCCTCTAACATGTCAGGGAGGAGACATTACTCACAGACCCCAGAGGAAGCTGGAGTGTGGGAGGTAACAACTCTGGTGGCCCAGAAGAAAGCAAAGAAAACCTTAGCAAAGGTACCCTTCATGTTCTGTTCTTCAGAAGAAAGGTATGGAAGCATGTGGAGATCTCTGTGAGGAATGGGAGGTGTTTTACAGAGGAAAGAGGGTATCAAGTGACTTGGCTAAAACTGAGATGTTTCTGGTGACTGGAATTAACACCCATCCTCTCAAGGGTCAAGTGCATGGGAAGATACACATGGTAGGTACCATGTGTTTCTGTTGAGGGAGGAGTCATGTTCAGGGCTGTGAAGTGGGGACTAGGGAGACAGGAAGACAGAGGAGAGACTGGTTTGGGCCAATCCAATAGTAGGTCAAGACTGGAAGTTGAGGAGCACTTGTCCACGGAGGGTTCAGTGAGGCTCTGGTCTCAATCAGTGCTGCCTTGGGGCCAAGTGACCAGGATGGACAAAGAGGAGAGGAGAAGAGAATTTCCAGATGCCCCAAAGCTGAATGGCAGCAGTAATAGAAGTAGATAGACTGTCTGTGCGTGGACTGGAACAAGGATGAGAGGCAGCCAGCAAAGCAGCTGCAATGTCCAGTGTGCCTGATGGGAGGCTAGAAAAGCAGCATCTTCTCAGAGGGCACAGACTGAGTGGACCAGCCAGGGTCCAGGGCTTGCAAGCTGGACCTCCACAAAGAAGCTGCAGCAGATGAAACCGAGTGACTTGTTTCTGATCACCAATGAGACAGTCTCACTACGGCACTCCCAGATATAATACCAAGGAATGCTCTGAGAGGGGCATGCAGAGCTCTTATGCTTCAGGGATGGTGGCTCAGAGTCATAGTGGAGTTAAAGTATGTGTTCACCAGCTAGCAACACCTGAGAAAGTCCGGTTCTACACATATCATAGTCTCATTCTGTCTGTCTCCCTCTCACACATGCATGCACACACATGCATGCACACATACACATTCCCTAACAACTCTCCCTATTCATAAGTATATATCCATAACCACTCTTTCCCCCACCTACATCCCACTCTCTGACAAAGACACAGATACATGTATAAGCAGAGATTCAGAAAGGCCATATCAGAATACAGGGCAGAAAACTACTGAAGGGATGATTGTGGAGAAATATCAAGGCAGGTGAATAGGATGGAAGGTGGAGATGGAAACACAGAGAAACCTGTACAACACCAGGAAACAAAACACACATCATGCAAAGAATTAAATGATGCTTATATAGCATCCTGGGAGAATTTGAAGAAAGCTATTCTGATACAGAATAAGTTACAAAAAGATTTCAAAATAGAAACTTACATTTCACTAGCAAAAAGTCCCTGAATTCCTGGTGGTCTGTAAACACCGGTGGGGATGGCAAGGGTGGACCAAAGAGTGGCACACTCTCTTCAGAAAATATTTTCAGCCTATGTAGAGAATATTCCAGAATTAGTTGCTTTTTCTGTCCTTCCATTTGTGTAGTTGTCTATGGGATGCTCATTCCACAGTAGGAGTGCCTTCTCTGGGCCGCCAGAGCTGAGGTCACCACCCCACTCTCCTTTCTAGCTTAATCAATGTCTTTCCGTGCAGAGGTCATGTCTTTATGAATCCTGCGCCGTCCAACCCACCAAGCTGCAGACACTGTCAAGCACCAGGAAGAACAGCAGTGGCCACCACTGAGCACTCATTGCATACCAGGCAGCGTACTTGATATTTGAAGGCACAACCTTGACTTTGATTCTCACCAAACCTGCCAGGGTAATATCATTACCTTCACTATACACATGAGGCTGAGGCACCGAGCAGATACACATTTTTTTTAAAGCCTCAAAGTTAATAAGTGACAGAGTTGGAACTAGAAGTCAAATCAAATTGGCTCATAGTTCATATTTTTACAATATCATGATATGTTTAACAGATTAATATTTGAGAACAGGATAAATAGCCAAGAATGTGGTCTAGGAAAGAGGATACTCTGGTCAAGATCAAACGTACCAAATTTGTTCCCATAATGAAGTATGATGAAATATCAAACAAACCCTCACTGTTCAGTCTACTGAATAGGAACAGTATATGGAGTATATTTTTTTCTAAAGAGACATTTTTTCCTTATAGCCTTGAATAAAGTTCTATAAGGTGAGAGTACTCATATTAAATCAATCAAGAAATATGTATGTCAAGAGTCTTGTAAAAGTAATACCAAATTAACAAGTAAACATGAGAATCAGAACAAGCAATTGAGATAAAGTCCTTACGGTACCTGTAATTGTCATTTTGTTGATCATACCTCACTAAGACAAAAATATCTGTGGTGATGTTAAGAAAATTAATCAACAATTCTGATGCTTACAACTGACACCTTGTGCTTTGAGAGTGTCTTGTGCATACTCATTCTCAACCAACACTTTTGTGGTCAAGGTGCCTATCACACTTAGGCTGAGACAGAACCTTGTCTTCTTCACAAGAGACAGCCCAGGAAGACCGGTGTGAGTACCATGACGAGGTTCAACCTCTGTGTGTTCATCCTTTGGGGAAAGGGCTAAATTTCCAAAGCCGGCACAAAAGTAATACAAATATAGCTATTAAACAACGAAGCAGCCAAAAAAGCAAAAAAGAGCATTTCCTTTGCCTGCAAAGACAAACCTGATCCCAATATGAAATTAGTCGTGTATTTCAACTCACACGGTTTGAAAAGGAAAGCAGTTTAAATGTTTCCACTGAACACCTTCTCTCTCTCTCCTTCTGGTTTTGATCGACAGAACAAAACAAGCCAAGTAGCTGGTAGCAGCTTCTGAGCAGAATCTAGTTAACTTGTGCTGGGGCACATCAAGCCTAAAATAGCAAAACTCAGCTTCTTCCTTTCTTTCTCTCATTCTTCTTCCCTGCCCTCACCTTTCTCCACCATCTCCCACTTCCATCTTTCTTTAGCTAAGGTTATAAAGTCAGCCG